TGGTTACAGTATAAATTACTGCTGGTGGAATAATAGTTACAGTATACTATGGCTGGTACAATACCTTTAAATGGTTACAGTATAAATTACTGCTGGTGGAATAATAGTTACAGTATACTATGGCTGGTACAATACCTTTAAATGGTTACAGTATAAATTACTGCTGGTGGAATAATAGTTACAGTATACTATGGCTGGTACAATACCTTAAAATGGTTACAGTATAAATTATTGCTGGTGGAATAATGTTTACAGTATACTGTTGTGGTCCAGCAGGAGCTGTTGTCTTGTTACTATCTTCTTTTACTTGGCTTTTTCTTAAGTACTGGCTATGTAATTTTTTTTTTGCCTTTCTATGTCTCTTTCCTGTTTTTTATTTGGTCTTTTGTGAAGGCCATTTTGGTCTTTCCAGTATTCCATAAACTTTCATAGTATATTAGCTTCAGTGCCTCTTTTTCACTAGTGTTGCTATGTACAAGATGCACTCTGTATAGGAACATCTACTAAGTACAAATGGAAGATCCACAGAAAATCATGGAAAATAAGAGGGCTGAAGTTTTTGTAGGGCTTTGTGGTAGAAGACATTGAACAGGAAACAGTGATGGTGATAAATATGCAGATAGTCCACAACTGAGTCCAAAATTTATGTTACTATGCAAGACATTTCTTAAGTGAGTTTTGCCTCACTTAATGATCTTTCTTGCCACAGTTGTTAAATGATTTTCCATTGACTTTGCTTGTCAGAAGTTTGCAAAAGGTGATCACATCATCCTAGGACATTGCAACTGTCATAAGTATGAACCAGTTGGTAACTATTTGAATTTTGATTACGTGACAATGCTGCAATGGTCATAAAGTGTGAAAAATGGTAAGTCGCTTTTTTCACTGCCATTGTAACTTCAAACAGTCACTAAATGAATGATTGTAAATCAAGGACATCCTATAGCAATTCCAAATAACAGCAACATCAGGAAGGAGTATGGGAAGCTAGAGAAGTACAAAGATCTGAAGGAGGTACTAAAGACAATGTGGAAAGTAAAGACCAAAGTAGTCCTAGTAGTGGTAGGAGCACTCAGAAAGTAGCAAAAAAGAGGATAAGTAAAATAAGTAAAATGAGCAAATTGTATGTAAGATATCAGTGTTAGAGGTTGAACAATGAAACATTATTGATCATATACAAGCATGTTTTAAAGGGAGCCAATGCAGCAGAAATCACTGCTGGGGTTGCAACACCTAGCTGACAGATGTCCATATAAATCAAACTTGCCACTATTTGTGGCATTTGTGGATTTTAAAGCAGTCTGTATTTTGATTTTCAAATCCCACTCAGGGAACAACTAAACTCTTTCACTGACACTTACTTCTGATTTATAAGCAATGTACCAATACAAGACTTAAAGTATAGAATCACCAGGTTGGGCAAGACTCCAATTCAATTCCAAAGGATATAGGGATAGAAAAAGAAGGCACACTGGCTCCATTTTCTTGGCTCAATATTGGTATAAACTCACTAAAAATATGTTTACAAGATCTAAACCTACATATACTGAAATTTGCAGTAAAGCATTTGCCAAGCCTGGTAAATGCAAATAATAGTGTAACATTGTAAAGAAAAACAACTGTTCATAAATTATCAAAACATTAAAATCATCGTTTTTTCCCCAGCTGCCTTAAGATTCATTGCTGCTAGAGTAATAATCAGAATATAGAGTAGGTTAGAAGTATTATGAGTAGGTATTAATTTTCTTGAAGCAAAATCAGTTAGATAAGTACAAAATAACATGGCAACAATCCTAATATTACATAGGCGAAGAACTGGGACAGAATGTATTTACCATAAATCAAGTAATCTATCAGATTTAAATTATCAAATTTTCTAAGCATATATTTTCCATTAAAAAGATAAACTTTCGAGGTGGGTAAAATGAGGACTAGATTGTTGGGGGCAATATGCTGATTCTGTAAACCGCTTAGAGAGGGCTGTAAAAGCACTATGAAGTGGTATATAAGTCTAAGTGCTATTGCTATCCAGTTAGGTGTTAGAAGAAGTCACAATTCTGGATGCATAGATTCATTGTAACCACAAGAAAATCTTGGGTGCAAAGCAGTGGTGGGTTCCAGATCCCCTTGCAACCGGTAGCGTGCAATGGGGCTGGGCATCCATCACATGCACACGTGCAGCACGCACATGCGAACTTACCACCCACGACGCTCCAGCTGCTTGGTAGAGCATCATTCAGGCGCCGAACTCTCCATGCATGGAAGCCCCAATCGGCTCAAATACAGGTAAGGAGGGCGGGCGGGTGGGCCCTCCGGAGCACCATACCGGAATGGTATCTGGTGCTCCCAACAGGCACCGGTACGCCTGTACTGGGATGTACTGGTTGTATCCCACCACTGGTGCAGTTGTTTTACTCATTTCCACATTCTTAAAAAAAACACCTAAATTCTCTAAATGGGATCATTTATAGACAAGTCAATGAATCTGAGCTAAAGCTTTTGTCATGGAGTATAATCAGTTTTGAACAAGACTTCTAGAAGTTCTTTAGATGTGATTTTTAAAATGTAAGAGAGAGGTGGAGAAGAGAGAGAGAGACAAGAAAGAAAGAAAGAGAGAGAGAGAGAGAAAGAGAGAGAGAGAGACAAGAAAGAAATACAGAGACAAGAGAGAGGGGGGAGGGAGAGAGAGGGAGAGAGAAGAGGAAGGAAGGACCACAAACCCTGGCCCTAGACGTGGCTTCAGAAGACACTTTGAAACAGCACAGCAATCTAGGGCTGGAAGGGATCTCGGAGGACTTCTAGTCCAACCTCCTGCTCCATCAGGAAACCTTATATTGTCTAGATTATTTTGGTGCCTCTAACAGAGAGGAAAATTGCTAGAAAGGGGAAGGAGTTTACTAGGACAAGGCTGCCATGCAGAGGAAGGCAGAGATAGTCTCGACTTATTACCACAATTGAGCCCAAAATTTTGGTTGCTAAGCAAGAGTGTTGTTAATTGGGTTTCATCACATTTTACTCAATTCATGACATATCCTGGCTCTAACAGTCATGTGCAGGCTACGGAAGAACATCTGAACGGGTGTGTAATGGGTTATATTAAATGTATGGCAGAAAGTGGATTCTGGGTGTGTTTTTCCAAATGCAGTAAGTGAGGTTGAATGTGTATAGTTTTAGAAGAGCTGTGTGTGTGTACACACACATACAGGATATATAGTAGATAATGTATCTTTTACCTATATTCACTCTATATTATGTAATATGTTTGTACACATATGACATATATACATAGGATTAAATAGTATATTTTGGATGTTCAGTAGTAGTAAATAAATAGACAGGGAAATTGTATCTCGTTGAGGCCTTTGAGGCAAGGAGACACCCGGCACCCTAACCCTAATTCTAACCCTTGAGGTGAGTGAAATCAAGTTGGCCATGCCTACCCAGTCACATGGCCAACTAGCCATGCCTACCCAGTCACATGGCCAACTAGCCATGCCTACCCAGTCACATGGCCAACCAGCCATGCCTACCCAGTCACATGACCAACAAGCTGCACCCATCCAGTCACATAACCACCCAGCTACGTCCACCCAGTCACATGACCACCCAGTCATATGACCACCAAGCCAGGCCCACAAAGCAAGCCATGCCCACAGAACTGATAGTAAAAAAAAAAAAAAGAATCTCACCACTGCATAACACTCCAGAGGGTAAATTATTTATAAAAAAGATAAAGAAGTCTTGATAGTGGATGTGGCAGTACCTGGAAAGAGCAGAATGGAAGAGAAAAAAAACTGGAAAATATCACAAAAAGCAAAGTCATGCAAATGGAAGAAAGATGACTATGACTATGACAAAGGAAAGCAAAGATAGTGCCAATATTAATAGGCATCTTGGGTACAATTCCTAAATAACTGGAACACTGTGCTTGAAAAATTCTGGCATTGCCAAATCACTATCAGTCAATTGCAAAAGGCAGCTTTACTTTGAACAGTTTATATCTTGCAACAATACTATCAAACAACATCTGCCTATCCCTGGTCCTTGGGAAGGTCTTGTTAGTTGGATAAAAATGCCAAATGCAGTCTAAATATTTAACTGTCTATGTGACAAATCATAATGATAATAGCTAAAACATTCTTGCTGTGCATGATAACATAAACTGAGAGTAACAATTGTGAATATAAAAAAACCTAAACTTTATATATCTATTTATTTTCTTTCTTTTGTTCTTCTATATTCTTGTTTTTCTTAAACTTATGTTGTTCTTTCTATTTTTTCTGTACCTATTTATTATTTTACTTATTATTGATATTTATAATAAATAATTTATTATTTTATTTTTATTTTTATATTTTAACTAATATTTTAATTGTTTTAATTATTATTTTAAATAAAATTACTATAAAAACAGTAATTATTTCTCCTTGCTTTTGAAGCTGCAATAGAGCTTAATGGATGAACGACAGTAGGACTCCTTTGCAAGTACTCTAAAAGCAAACCTAAGTAAAACAAGTCAAATCACATTCATTATTAATAATTGATACTTATTCGGAATTAGTGAGTATTGATTATAGGCTTAAAAGGAAATTCTTTGCAATATTGATTTTGACTTGCTATATCAAGACTGAAAGCACTAGACGCTTAATAGAAATCAGTCACATTTATTAAGAAATTTAAGTAATTATAATTCGATATCAGCCTTAATCTTTTTTTTTGTATCGTAGAGAGCACATTCTTGATTTTTTTTAAAATTAAGTTGACATAAATTAAAATCATGTGAAGTCCAGCTTTTAAAAAGTGACTATAATTTATTGGCATTACACTCTCACTAAAAATTAACATTGACTTGAGGAATATCTCCTATTTGTGAATAATTAAAGATAGCTTCTATAATAAACATTACTTATTCTCATGAAGAACAATATAAACAGTGGAAATATTTCTTATCATCTTCAGGGAAGTACTTTTAGCTGGAAAACTATGAATTGAAGATGAAAAATTGTTGCTGGTGGAAGTAATGGCAGTATTGGGGAAATTAGGTTTTTCATCAATGAAACAATATTTTGGGGAGATAAAATCCACACTTTCATTCATTCTCCTAGTTAAGGTGGATCTCTTACTTTTAAAAAGAAGTGTATTTATATCTGGTATTTTGAGAATTTAATTCACTATTCATGAAGACCTGTATTATCATACAAGATTTGAATAATATACTAATTAACAACACTGAATTGTTCAAAGTAGATTGATGATTCATTGTTCAAAGTAGATTGATGATTCACTGTTCAAAATATTTACAACCTGTTTAAATAACTATGAAAGTTTATCTGCTAAAAAAAATTGAGTGGAGGTAATATTTTGATATATTTGGTGGGTTTGTAATATTCTTTGAAATTTACTCAAATGCTATTTGCAGTTTATATTACATAGCTATATGGAAAATATTCTGAAGGCGTATTGGTGTGGAAAGGAAGGAAATATTTATTTATCCAGTTGAGAGAAAAAGGGGATTAGATTTATAGTTTAATAATAAGGTTTGCTGCATTTAAAGTGTATAAAGCATGTTCTAGTAACCTCTGTTATATTGCAAAAACAATATAGCATATAAAAATGTGACTTTTTCAAGAGCCAACTTGGAAAATTACCATGTAGTTCAACATTTGATTGAAATTGAACATTTCATTTTAGACCTTAATTTAGAGAAAGATCAAATAAGAAGTGCTACTCAGCCATGAATAAGAGAGGAAATATAGTGTCTAAACCTTTAGAAAAAGTTATCTGTGCATTTTAAGAATATGCAGAAAGAGAGATGGAAAGGTAGATAGTACTAAAACAATAAGCTATTATAAGAATTTGGGTTTATTAAATAAATTAAGGAAAAGCAGTTATAATCTTGTTATGCCTCATTAAAAAAAACTAGTTTATTTCATTTGTTAAACTAGAGATTTTTTTAAAAATTACTCAATTAAAATATAAATTTAAATTTTCACTTCCCCATTTATTAATTAATATTTTATAAAATTCAGTAAACACATTTAGCTTTTTCCAACTGCTTTTTTAATTAGAAACATGTTATGTTATTTTTCAAATAAATGTTTCCAACATGATTTTTAGAATAACTCTTTTAAAAGCCACGATAAAAAAAATTGCAAGAAAGAACCTAAATAACAATAGAGATAACACATCAAACAGTAAAAACTAAAGATATTATTCATAAATGAGATTAAATTCAATCTCCTGTTCTCAGGAAATGAAATAGTCATCTTAGATACAGGAACAGTGATGTAGATGGAACCTGCAGAGCTCCAGGATGCAGTTGTAGGAGAGGAGTGAATGGACATAGAAGATCATCAGATGAAAGTGATTGTCTTCTTTAGACTGGAGGTACCAGTGTTTCAGAAGGGATGGCTTGGCATAGTACGCATTTTCGAACTCTAATATTTACTTTATCTACTAGCAAAATTGTATAAATATATACATATGAAGTTCACTTTAAAAAGATTTAATATTTGCATTACATAGGATCATGCTCCTAGACTAGTGACGTGAGGTGAGGTTTATGCCTGGTGAGGCTCAGCTGGGCATCTCTTCAAAGACTCGCCAGCTCCAGCGGAGTTCCATCCCAGACTTTGGCAAAGCAGCTCAGCGGGGCAGCAGTCGGCCTCAGCGGCAGGGGGGGGGATTTGCATCGCGGGAGCCGCGAAGCACCCGGGTCTGCAGCAAAGGCGCTTGGCAGCTCCCGCGATGCAAAGTGCCCCACCGCCGCCACCNAACTGAGCATGCAGAGGCAAAGGGAGGCGTGGTCAACTAAAAACATCACTCAGTCCAAGGGCAGATAGGCTGTGTTAACCAGCATTGGACTCTCCTCGCAGTGCCCCGAGAACGACCATTCAGGTAAGCCAACGGTCTTTTTATCTGCTTTTGTAACTTGGTACACTACTTATTCCCTAACTATAGTATATTGGAGCTGTTTTTATATTTAACACAGATTTGTACTGGAAGGAAAAGAAATTCGTCTGAAACCACACTGTGCAATTTTTATTACCCTGAATCCTGGGTAAGTGATAACTGTAGTTATCATTGTTCCATAACACCAGAACAGAAATAACCATTTGGGGGGGGGGGGAGTATATTTTACAAATATGTGAAGTTCTGTTGCATAAACTGGTAATTTTGATACAGTGAGTTTAATATTGTCCATAGCTTTGCACTTTCAAGATTTCAGAAAATGATATTTCTTAGTCTAATTTGTTGATTCAGGGATTGATCATGGAATTTTTTAAATGCAAGGAATATGTACTGCCACTGAATTATATTCCCATTTTCTAAATGTTGTAGTTTTAAATTACCACTATTATCAATTTCAGAAGGTTAAATAATTTTTCACTTGCAACTAACCATCACTTATTATCATAATTCGTTATCATAAAAGTAATAATATAATTATTTTCTAAACTTTAGTGAACTCTAGTTTTTCAGACTAGTATTGTATCTTTGTTGAAAGAATTTTTTATTTGTATGTGGTAAAGGTAACGTATTAAAGTGTTCTTAATAAATGTGATGACATTAACTTTCCTTTTAAGATACAAAGGTCGTGTGGAACTTCCAGACAACTTAAAATCATTATTTCGTCCTATGTCAATGATAATACCAGATTATGAACTCATTGCTGAAATAATGTTGTTTTCAGAAGGTTTCAGATCAGCAAAATTACTCTCAGGGAAGATAATAAATCTTTACCAACTTTCTAGCAAAAGACTATCACAACAGGTAAAATACATAGAATATAATTTTATTTTTTATATCCTAAGTTTCTTCTGGAATGGAGCTCAATGTAGCTACATAGCATCCCCAGGGGATGCCCCTTAGAGGCAAAGATTTGGAAGAGTAATGCAGAAATCACATGTAAATATAGTATAAAATTACAGATAAATATCTGTGAAGCCGAATAGAATGGCCTACTGTCCATAATGACAGCAAACTAGTTTAGGAGGTACAAGATAGGCCCAAAACAACACAAACGCACACTTCTTCGCTTGCCTGCCTCTATGAATTTTTTAGGACCAAATATAATTTTTCTACAGGAAATGCACCTTTCAGTGAATATGCTCCTGAATCCAGTATAGGATTTTCCCTTCAGTTTCATTTCAAGCACTATAGCAATGTTAGCTATCCAAAGTCAATAGCAAGTGGATCACCTTAGGGGAGAGAGGGAGGAAGAGACTCTTTTCAGCACATTGGGCAAAACTCTTCTATTTCTTGAAAGGATTATATTTTCTGCTCATTATCCTTATATCATGCATTACTATTCTTAAAAGAAAGCTTAAAAGGTAATTGAGAATTGGTGTCTTCCTGCAAAGCACTCTGGGTCTGTGGTTAGGCAAATGCCCTTGCACTAGTGCTTGATATGTAGGAGCAAAATTCCCAACTGACAGCTATACACTACTATTACTTCCTACAGAGGGACAGAAATTTCTATTTTCAGCCATCTTATCTTCTTCCTGTACTCTCATTGATAAATATCCCACTGGATAATTAGTATTCTACAGTTCTTTTGACAGCCTGTTAGGTTCAGTTAAGTTTCATTCTTGCACTCTGAAATGAAAGACCACAGGATTTCTGTGTTTCTTTCAGATATTTGATATAATATCATATACCATCACAACTGCCTTTTCTAATCTAAACACATTCAGCTCTTTCAATCCTTGTTCATATAACATTGTTTCTAGGCCCTTTATCTTCATTACTGTCTTTCTGTAAACTTCTTCCAATTTCTCTAAATCTTTCAAGTAGGGTGCCCAAATTGCATGTCATAAACAAAATAGAGTTGAGTGCATTTCTTTTTTTCTTGCAGCCACACAAAACTGATGCATCATATTAAATTTGTAGTCATTTATTATTCCACTGTCTTTTTTTTACAAATACTGTTATCAACCTAGTTATCTGTTATCCTGTATCTGTGCATTTTTATTTCCTAAGTAAAAAAAATTGTGCTTATCTGATTACATTTAGGGTTGTTACTTTTGTTTCCCCCATTTTTTTTGTTTCTGTATTAGCTATCCACCCAATTCTGTATCATCTGCTAAATTTATAAACATTCCTTCTACTTCCTATGATCACCTCTAGAATCACTGTAGTTTCTGGGAACTTGCTTTTTTCTTCCCCACACATGTGGCAGTTCCCATATTGTATTTTTAACTATCAAAAACTTTAGTTCTCCATAATTGATAGATAGATAGATGTTGTGGCCCAGCAAGAGCCGTTGGAGCTGCCACCAGACTCCGACAGCAAGGGGCCCTATGAGTCGGCCCTGGAGTATGTGGAGGACCCTGGTCAGGGTTCCGACTCTGAGCAGAGCGCAGAGAGACTGGTTGNTAGAAACTTGCACTTTCTCTTTTCTTTCTTTTCCAGTTAACCAGACTGGGCCACAGCAACGCATGGCCGGGTATAGCTAGTAAGAAATAGATTAAAAATAAAGGGTTGGGAGGGCAGGGAATTAAAAATGGTAAAGAAATAAAAATATAGGGAAAAGGATTAAATATGAAGAAAACAGAGGAGGAAGAGAAGACTGAGAGGATGAGGTAAAAAGACAAAGAGAACAGGGAGAAAAAAAAGGGCATGCAGGATAAGTAAAAATCATTTTCCACCTTTAATGTCAGCTATTCCTCCTCTTCCCCAATCTTTTTGATTGAAATTCCAATCATTTTGTCCCCCAAAAAGAGGCTTGTCTTTCATAGTGGTGAAATTGAGTTACCGGTAGTTCATTTCTTTTTAGGGCACAAATTGTCCTTTAATTCAAAGAAGTGGAAAAAAATGTTCATTTTCAATACAGTAAAATACTTTCAACCTGGGAAAATGGTTGCCTAGTACTACAGTCATTTGCACTGGGAAGCAAATGTATGATGAGGACCTCAGCATGTCCTAAGAGACGCAGTAATTCCAATAAATCTGGTGATCTCAGATTTAAGGGCTGTTCCTTTAAGTTGGTATTCAAGTTATTTACATACCAATATTAATTCACTGACATTTCTTTGCAGCTAAAAATATATGAATCCATCTCAAATCCGTCAGTTTTCCTTCAAAAAGGAAGGGCTGAGATCATTCTCAGGAACTTTTAGATTTTGCTATCCACATCATGTGGGTTCATGGCAATATTACTACCAATTCACATGCAAAGTGATACCTAGCAACAGGTAATTTCATTTCAGAACTTGGACCATGCTGGAGTCTAATAAATTCCAAAAGGCATCTTGAAAATTTAGCGGACATTAGATTTAAACCTCCTGTTTCCCTGAAAAGCTGTTAGAACTGGATTGTCAATAGAGCCGAGGTGGCCCAGTGATTAGAATGTAGTACTGCAGGCTACTTTAGTTGACTGCTGGCTACAGTTTGGCAGTTCAAATTTCACCGGCTCAAGATTGATTCAGCCTTCCATCCTTCCAAGGTGAGTAAAATGAGAACTCAGATTGTTGGGGGCAATATGCTGATTCTGTAAACCGCTTAGAGAGGGCTGTAAAAGCACTATGAAGCGATATATAAGTCTAA